TTAATCATTATTGCTCCTTTCCACGGCGCTTTTTCTTCTTACAATAATTTTGAACTGAAAACTAACTTAAATGGTTTGCTATATTTGTTAAAATTGGTCAATATTATTACAGAGGCATTAAATTCGAAATTCGGATTTTTAACTTATATACGAGTAATATCAACATACTCATTCAATTAAATATTAGTTTATAATTTTTTATTTAATTTAATAAAGACGTGCGGAAACGAAAAACTTATTTAATTTACATAGTGAGGAGCGCATATTAGAGGCGCTTTTTATAAGCGCGTCTAATATAAGAAGAAATATGCATGGCTGACACTTTTTAAAGGAGCGCCTCTATTTAAGCGCCCCAAAAAACCTTTTTCCTAGTAGTGAAATCTCTAGAATGGAGACTATTGCCATTGTAACAATACCATTATACTTTATACCGCATACTCACGGCCCAACAATTAGTTATTAATTTTACCTTTACTTCATTACCCAAAGAAGCATTATCATCTAGTTCCTATAGCAACATAGCTCAATAACGCACATCTAAGCATTTTAGACATGCACTTAGTTCCCAAAGAACCGTAATACGAAGTTTATCTATATTATAGTGACGACTAAATCTTGAACATGTTCAAGTATTCAACACTTCAATTTAAACAAAATCTTGAATTTCATCCAACACCACATTAATTACCCATACAATAGACTATATCCCATAAAACTTTGTATTTTTGAACTTTTGGTAAATGAAGTTAAACTTTAATGAATGATATACTTTTATAGGAAATTATTTATAATATAACAATGATATGGACATTATTGTTTAAATTGTACCACAATTGACTTGAAAAGTCAAAGAAGATGTATATTTAAGGGATGAGTTGTATTTTTTTTTTACCAAAATAGTCAATTATAAGTCAACACAGATACTAGTTATGTTTTCTTGGTTTTTTGAAATATAAATAAAGAAAGTGCTTCATTAATATTGAAATGGACATATATAGTTGGGTGGATTGGTAACATGTTTATAATATAAGATAAAAAGATGTTTTCAAAAATTTTAAAACAAATGAAAATGCTTTTTTTTTTAAAATGATGGTGTGATTCGAAATGCTTACACAACAAATTTTTTATGTAAACAAAACCTCATTGTGTAGATAGATATTACCTATAATACTTCATCCGTTCTTTAATTCTTGCAACATTCTATTTTTTGCACTATTCACAGATCTTACTTTGACCACGATTTTCTACTAATATACATAATCAAATTATTACGTAGAAAATGCTATTGAATTCCTATCAATGTGAATTTCCAAAATATCAATTTTTTATAATGTTTAGTAATATGTAATTAGATATAATTACAGTCAAAGTTGTGCATTGGAAAACGTGAAAGTCAAACTGTTGCAAGAATTAAAGAATGGAGGATGGTATATAATAACTACACCTTAAATTGCACGGTTACATGTGGAAGTGCCCTTACGGTCTTAATCTAACGATGTGGATATAAAACTCCATTTCACTTTTCATTTTAATTGATGGTGAGAATACAATTTCTAAAATCATCTAGGAGGAAAAATGTTAAGAAGACGTGTTAAGATAATGTGTGTGGACGTATTCTTACCCCCATCACATCCAAAATATGAGTTTGAAACTTTCACCAACTTAAAAGTATAAGAATTATGGGCAATGGGCACAAACGCACAATAAAAACTGTTACATATTGATTGTACAAAAAGGATGACACTGTTTAATCTAAAAACTATTTCTATGAATAAAACGGGAACATGCAAGATCAAGAAATAATTATATGAAGAATTTGATTGCAATGGTATAAAAAACTAAAAAGCTTGAGATTTTAAGCTTCGATGTACAATAGTTGATCTCTTTCGATTGTCTGTTATGATAGGGCTGAATCTAATATATATAAGCTCAAGATCAAAACTTGGAAATCAGTTGCTCAACCTTGGGCCCAATAGACACCTTATCTTTGAGGGCTCCTAGCTTCGACTGGATTGTTAGATCTTTATTGTGAAATGTGACTCAAATGTTTTAATCCTTTAAAGGATAAATACAGAAGGGGTGGAAAATACAAGGGTCTTATATTAAAATCGAGAATGAATACAAGACAATCTTCAGAAAGATTTTATGAATCCAATCATGAACCCCAAGAGTAAAATTAGTCACCTCATACAAAGCAATCTGACTCGCTAAACCTGAAACGTGCAAATTTAAGCCTAAAATGAACGGATCTCAAACTCTACCTATCAAAAGAACTCCAAAAATCTAAACATTCAAGCCAAATCTACTTGGACTAAAATAAAAACAAGTACTACTAAAGAGAAAATAATATTGAAATAAAATCTTTCTCCAAAACTCTTCCTAGTATGGAGGTGGTTCTGGAGGATAACGAGCTCTTGCAATATGGGTGAATACCAACTCCACCACCGCCGGAGCGGCCGACCAAGGCTTCAAAATCCAACACCAATACAAACTCTCAGCCGCAATCCATTCATCCGCCAACGTTATCTCCTTTGATGTAGTTGCAATTCCAGGCATTAGAACACATAAAATCATAATAATCTACTGATCCAACCCATATTGATAAGGGTGGCAGAAAATCTCAACCCCTAAAAAGAGGGGAGACAGTCGTTAGATTTTATAGGAATAGACGGATTAAATAATTCCCACATGCATGTTTTTTAAAACCAAATTTTAGAGAATAGAAATATTGAGCTCTACAAATCAAACTGGCCTTTAACATTATAATACAAAGGGAGTTGAAGGTCTTAAATTGTAGTTTGAATTTCCGGTGTGGTGTGATGCATTTGAATTAATTTTCTTACGATGGTAGTCTGATCCAGTGGTGCAGTGATCCAAACTATCTGATGGTGACATCAGTGCTAAGAGATTCTTGGTAGATGTATGATCCATTTGGATTGTTCTTCTCCTCCGATTGTGTTGATTTTGTTATATCACAGTTCTTTCTCGAGTACTTATGCTCCTGGGTGGTTAGTCTCTCTCGGTGTGGGGAGTTCTTTTGGTGCGTCGACTAGTTTCGTCTTGTGAGGGGTTTCTGTCTGACTTCTTTTAGAGTGCCGCGAAAGTAATTGAATGACTCAGTCTTTTAGTTGTCTCTGATTAGAATCTAAAAGGAGGACGTTGTAGATGTCCATGGCGGACATGACTTCTTCTAAGGCTAGAAGATCACAGGAAGACACGTAGATATTGATAGAACTCCTCCTCCTCCTCCAAAATCACCTAGTAATAATTTTTTTCATTTTAGTTTGAGTAGGTTTGATTTAAAAATTTAGACTTATGGAGTATGTTGATAGCGGTGTTTAATTTAATCCCGACTCTTTATGATTTAAAATGATCATTTTGGGTTTAGCGAATCAAGTTGATTTGTATAAGATGATTAATTCGATATTACTCCTAGAACTCACAATCAGTTTTGTCATAATTATGGATATTATCTTGTACTTTGGCTCAATTTTAATATAAAAAGTCGATTCTTTATATAAAAAACATTATAATACAAAGATCCGGTTTGGTATCTCATTTTACATTTTATAAATTTTGAGTAATTAACAGTTAAATTTAAAAAGTTTGACTCAGATCAGGAGAGAGAATTTAAATCAACTTCACGTTACTGTAAGCGCATCCTCATTCATAGAATTTTTTTGGGATCGTTTTCATGATGTGAATGATTCTTTTTGGGATCATGGATGAGGAGTTGAGATTATTTTAAGATTATTTGATAAAATAATCTAGTATCAAATTCTAAAGCTAGTTTATTTAGAGATTATTTTCAACATCTATGCATATACTCATAATTATGGCGATGACTATCTTTATAGTTTGTGCAATCTCATCCTCCTATTCAAGGTAAATTAAGATCATGAATGATGAGAAATTTAATGGTTTGGAGATTATTTGAGATGAGTAGTCTTCATGTCCAGCCGACCTAACGGGAACTGCTATCCCCGAGGGGTTTTCCGGCCCTTCCCGATGGAATTTTTTGATGATTTGTTTTTAGCATGTTCTTCATCAAGTCTAGTTTATTCAAACCAAATTTCAACTAAAAATTCAATCCGGAAGGCAGTCAGATAATTTCATGAAGATAACTATGAAGTTAATATGTATAAACATCGCAATATTTTTCAAAAACATCATTTGATTGCCTTCCCGATGGAGTTTTCAGCTGAAATTTGGTATGAATAAACTAGACTTGATATTGAACATGCTCAAAAAAATTGTCAAAAAATTCCATCGGGAAGTGCCCGAAATTCCCTCGGCCGGATGGCGGTTCCCGTCGGGCCGGCTAAACATGAAAAGTTGTCTATTTGATACTCCATATTATCTTATGTAGAGGTAATAAAAAAATCATTATCTTATGTAGAGGTAATGACCATAATTAATCGTGAAAAAGTGTAAAGTTGAAAACCATTATCTTCTAAAAAAATCAATTTCACGTCGTCTCAACTCTATGTTTAAAAAACCGACCTGACCCGATCGGGTTGACCCAGACAAAAATCCTATTCGGTTTTTTCAAAACTCGAAAATGGTCAAAAACCAGAAAAACCCGGCTGACCCGAAAAAAACCGATCCGGACCTGACCCAAGAAACCCGAAAAACCCGGGAAAACCCCGTTTTCGGTCTTTTCCAAACAAAAATAATTTCTTTTTTAATTTTAATGCATTTTTTAAACCAATAAAATTACAATTTCAATTCCCTAAAAAGAAAAACTATGTAATACGTAATATATTTATATATTTATTTAAGAATGAAAATCATGCCAAATTATAATATAAATGTACAATACAAATAAAAATATATAATGACAGTGTATATAATTATATGTTTATTATTATTATATAGACGTATAATCGTTGATCGGTTTTCCGGTTTTGACCGGGTTGACCCTCCGGGTCCGGGTTAACCCGTGACTCAGTCACATGACCGGGTCGCTCACCGGTCCGGTTTTTACAATGTAGTCTCCAGTGGGTTGAACAAGGACCCGTTTGCAACTTTGCATTCCGTATTGGGGTCGTGCTGAGTTCCCAGCCTATCCGCCGCTTCCCGGCGTTTCACGAGCCTCCCCGCGCCAACGCCGGCTAAATGAACTGGAAACTCGCATCTTCAATTTCACATTTTCCTGGTTACTTCAATTTCAGAACATACTTAGCTACCGCACGAAACATTTGGAAAACACTTCCGGTCCAACGAAGGCAACGACCATGGGAAATGTTGAAATTAAGGTATACTAGTAGTTTTTCTTAGATTTGGTGCGAAGTGATTACCAGCATTTACCTAATTTTAGAACACAAACTTCTTCTGTACAGAATTTCATTCCACTATATCTTTCCGTCTTTGGATTTGCAGCTCGCAAACGCAATGGATTGGAAGCTCAAACCGATCATTCCACAGTTCTTCGAAGGAAAAGGAAGATGACCGCTTTATGGAATTGGGCCCTGCCGTGAACGAAACTGATGTTTCAGAACTGAAACTGTCAACAGAGAAGCGCGAGCGGTTTAGGGTAATTGAGAAATATTTCCTATCGGTTTATGCTTCCTAAATAATAACTTAATTTGTATGTAAGAGCTTTTTTTATATAATTAAATGAGTTTATGCTAAGCTGGCTGACGGGAATAGTCCTCTTAGATTCCTGAGGGCAACCCCGCTAGTTGGCTTCCTTTAAAACCCTCCATCCAAACATACCCTTTAGAGTCTAACGTTTTTTATGTTGGTTCAACCTTGTTAATATCCAATGTTGTGAACGACCTATCTGTATATGTGGTTGGAGAAAGTAATTGAAGCTAATATTTGACAGTGGCAGAATGGTTCTGTAAGGAAAAGCTTAGCCAACAAGGGGCATCTAGTGAACAAGCGTGTGGGCGAAAAGGAAACTCATGATGTATCAGATCGCATCATGGCTCAACTCTTGGATGCTTTTGGTGCAAAGAGGCCAGCTGGTAAAGTCAAATACGTCGGTCGTCATGGTGAACCCCATCAAACCATGGTTGAACCATACCATCTTGGTGGAATTATATCAACAATTAGAATCAACGGGATTAACAAATGTGCATCCAACAATGAAATACATTCACTCTGTAGAAAGGTTGGCAATTTAGAAAGGTTGACATGGGTAGGCAAGGCAGCTGTGGATGCATACTTTAGAGTGGGGAGTGAATCAGAGTCAATAGGAATCGTAACGAAGTAAGTACATAACTTCTCCTTTTTGTACACTCGCTGTTGGTATCTCATAACATTTCATTTATTTATGTATTCTTTTTTCAGCTATAGGATTGATTGTGTCATTCTAGTTTGTACTTATTAAAAATGTACCTTTAACTTTTTTGAGCATTTGGGCATGTTTGGATTTCAGAAAAAGTGCTAGGCAAAGGGAAATTGACCCTGGGTCTGTTTGAGCGCCGGAAAATGCTGGTTAAAATTGTGAAAACATGGAACAAAAACATAGAAAACAATTAAAATGAATGTGGGATAAAATCAAATACGTAGTATATAATAAAATCCAATAATTTTACTACATATATTTGTTGAACATAATACGTAGTACGAGTATTATTTATGCTTATTTTATAAAGCCTATAAAATCTGATGTATGCAAAAATTAAACAATACAGTATTCAACTATTTGTTACATTTCACAAGGTAAAACCATAAATGAGAAATTAGCGTCCCTAAATCCCACCCTTTTCCCAGCATTTTTTCATTATCCAAACATGCCCTTAACTTAAATACTCTTTTGGTGTTTGGTTTTACACTGAAAAATGACGATGAGAAAATACATTAAAACTCTTTGAGTCTATATATGTTTATACTTCTATCTCTTTAATAAAAAAAGAATATATAAATAATAAAATGACTATGAACAACTTTTATATCTCCCTGTACTTATTTACTTCAAAAGATTCACCCTGTTTTCTTCTCATAACATTTTTGGGGGGTTCCAAATGTACCCTTGAATAAGAGAAAAGGTCTGTACCCTTGATTGTGAGGGAATAGTTGTAGTAATTCATCAGTCTCTTGATGTTTTTAGGTTAAATGGTCATACCATTGGTGGCAGACACTTAGCAGCATCTATCCCTTCAGGCAACTCTACAAAATCGATTCCCAAAAAGAAGTGATCAAAGAGGTCTGTACTTCAGCACTACCCTCAATAGCTCAAGAGGCAATTGGAGTTGAAGAAGGCATGCTTCGATGATTTAGAGAGTTGCTGCATAATAGTATATTGCACATTCAATGTTCTCGAATTTGAGTGTTTAATTGATATATGGATACATCATGGAAAGTATCCTTCAAATTCTTTGAAGCATAGCTGGCTAGTTCATTAAAACCAGTTCAGGTTAATGTGACTCGTCCAACTATGATTTTTCTATGTTGGATGATGCAGTGATTTCATAGAACTTTTTATTGTAATCAATGAACTAAGTTTATCAAGATGAGTCAAGTCTTACCACAATACATGGTATTGTGACTAGTCATGGACCCAGGCCGGGCCCGGCCGGGCTTTTTTTTTTGAAATAATTACATGAATATGACCAAAATAAAGATGATTTACAAAAATATGACTAGTTACTAGAGTAGTAATGAAATCATAGTAATTCATGTTCAAGTTTTGAATTTTAAATTACTACAACACCACGTTGTAGTAATGAATAGCCATATTTATGTAAATAAGTTTTATTTTGGTAATATTCTTGTAAAAAACCCTTTTTGTTGGGAAGGAAGGCCCGGGACCGGTCCGGGTCCGGGCCGGGCCTCCGGTTTGGTTAATTTTTTTTTTTCTTTCCTACCCCCTGCCCTCACCCCCCTCCCACCCCCCAAAACCCCCAAACCCCTCCTAACCATCAAGCCCAACCCAGGTGTATCCCAAAAAATGAAAAAAAAAAAAAAAACAAAAAAAATTCAATTAGGCCTGGACCCGGGCCCGACCCGGGCGGGCTGGTTTGCCAAATACAAGGCCCGAGCCCGGACCCGCCCACCCCACCGGGCCTAGGCCCGACCCGGACCCGGACCCGAAAACCGGGCCGGTTCCGGTCCCGCACAGTAGCGAGCCGGTTCCGGTCCCGCACAATAGCAGGCCGGGCCAGGCAGCCCGAACCGGGTCCATGACTAATTGTGACATGTGAGTCGTATAATTGTTAATTTGACCATAGGGTGATTTAGGGTCAGAGCATCAGTTACTTGGCAAACCGCAGAAGGGTGCAACTACATGACCTGATGACCGCTGGTCCGCTACTAAAACCAATCTGGTTTCTGTTATCCAAATACTCGTATATGTATGTGAGTATGTGACCATCAAATAGTGATTTTGAATTTTCTATGAGTTGCGAAATTTGGAACCTAACCAAAACTGAATCTGGGCAAAGAATCGTCTAGACTCTAGAGCCTGGAACTGGCTCTTGTCCATCCAAAGGTGCAGCTAAATGAGCACTTGAGAGTTGAGATATTATCATCTATTTTTCTGGATTTACTTCCTCCTCTGGGTAGCCCTTTGGTGTGGGCGGATGGGAGTGCCATCAATGGATATCGCCCCCTCCAAAGCAAGATGAAAAAATAAACCAACCAGTCAAGGTGAATGATATGGTGTGATACGAAATTAGCGTGAAGAACATGAGATACACACATTCCTTTACTCAGCATATATGAACTGAGTGATGATTCAGGAATCAGGACCATCAATCACTATCTCCAATACCACAAAAAATGGAAAAGAATGAATTAAACACTGCAGAACAACATAGGGCTGGGATTTTGGAACCAAGAACCGGAGAACCGAACCGGACCGAACCGTTATGACCCGGTTCGGTTCGGTTCCAACATTTATTAGTTATTTTTTAACGGTTCGGTTCCTATTTGTTATTAATGGTTTGGTTCTCGGTTCCTGAAAAAAATATGTACTAGGAACCGTTAAGGAACCGTTATATATAATAATTAAAATTATATATATTTCTTATAAGTATATATATTTTTATGTATATTTACTTACTTATTTTTATATTACATTCATTATTTTAGTTTAGTTATTCAACTATTTAAAACTATTATTCACTTCAACCGGTTCTCTTAGGCTTCTTAGGCCTCTCATTAGGTCAAAACTCCAGCGGGTCGGAACTTTGAAGGTCCAACGTATTTAAAATTATTATTCTATTTAACAGTTTAAGCATATTTGTATCGTAATTTCAAACGTAGAATGTCTTTTTGGCAAAAATTTAGTCATGATTTGTAAGATTTTTTTCAAAGACTAGGAACCGTTAAATGACAAGAACCGAACCGTTAAGAACGGTTCGGTTCCTTATCGGTTCTATAAAATAATTTATAAGAACCGAACCGTTAATAAAATTTCATATTTTCAAACGGTTCCACATATTTGGCCTAGGAACCGAACCGGTCCCAGGCCTAGAACAACACACACACACACTAAGACTTTTCTTTGCACAAGCTTAAGAGCGGATTACAGGCAATGAGGCAATACACTAATAAATTAATAATAACTTGCAACACATACAAATGATTAATCATGAGACGAATCCCCTTTCAAGTACGCGTCCGATATCCCACAATGTTCTTCAAGGGTTTCAGATTCTGATACTCTCACCGATGGGCATTCTTCAACATGATAATCATCACTCTCTTCAATTTCCAAACTATGCTCATGGCCACCATGACTAAGCAGCGACAGATCAAAAAGTGTTGCTGCTCCATGCGGATGGGTTCTCATCTGCACAGACCTCAAAAGCGCTGCCCGCCTGAGGTCTGCTGAGTGGCATATGTCGCTCGGCGATGATGGGAACCGGCCCTCAGAGTCTGAGCCCCGTTGACGTGCACTCGAAGATGCAACGGGAGGTAGGTTGCATCCTGGTGGCGGGTTTAAAGTGGATTGAGAGAAGGGTGAGAGCCCACTAAAAGGCCTCTGGTGGTTCCTATAAGGAGACACAGGACTGGTTGGAGTGCTCTCAGGCTGAGATGAACAACAAATGTGCATAGAAACTTCATAGCTCGGCAACTCATCCAAATCTTCTGACATTGGTGAATACTGTATAGATGCATCATCTCTGTATCTCAAGGATAAATGAAAAGAAATTGTTAGCCTAAAACGAAAAAGGTGTATTTCACCCATTTGGGAGGAAAATTTATGGTAAACCCATTTTAGCTTATGGATCCTATCATGCAGATTTTATGCTTCTTGCTGAAATAGCTCAAAATGAAATTTGTACCTTCATTTTAGTTATTATTTTCTTTAATTTACTGAAACATATTTTACACAATTTTTCATTTAATCCAGCAGATTTGGTTATTTAGGACATTTCAACCACAAATTTAGCAGATCGGCTGTAATATATATTACCAAACACGCTCTAAGTATGTTTTTTTACCAAGTAATTTGTCTGAAACAGATGTCACTTGTTAACCATCCTTTTTCTTTTCAGAAATGCAATCGTATAATCCAATAACATTGATCAAACAGAAAATTTATCAATAAAACATCTAAACATCTACTACCTCCGTCCCTAAATAAACATCCCACTTTGCTTTTCGGTTCGTTCCTTGAAAACGTCCCCTTTCCTTGTTTGATAAACAAAATAGTGCAAAACAGTGCCAAACAGTGTCATTTTCTTAAGTTGTGTGTAATTTAAAGGGGTACTTTTAAATAGGGACGGAGGGAGTATAAAGATATAGACTGAACATCAAACTCAGTTGTCACTACAAATCAAGAATGGAAAATTCATAACTATAAATCGAACCACAGAGATTAGAGACAAATGCATTCCTGAGCTTATCAAATTGCAGGTTAAAGAAAGACATGGCCCAGTTTAAAACACGGCATCATCGAAGATTAGGAATATGCACCAATAAATTACTCTGTATTTATTGTGCAGGTTAAACTGTACAGGTAGCAGAAAATACATTTACCTAATACAGCACATGCTTCCAGACCTTGGAGAATACACAAGGCTATCATCAGTTAAGTTATCTCCAACAGTTAGTCCATTTAAACTTGATGCCATTATCTGCAAAAGGGGGAAAAGAGTAAGCTCCTTTTTTCCTACCTATACTATGATCTGTATTTTACTGGCAATAAACGGTGAAGCTCTCAAATCAAACTCAAGTTTTTGTAGCAGACTAGCCTTGAGCTATAAACAGTTATACGCTTACAATTACCACATGGAAATAAAAGAATCAACCAAAATCAGAAACTTTACATGAAAAACGGAAATAGGTTAGAACTTAGAACGACAGGAAGTGCGAGAGAGAAGACCTACCTCACTTAAATAGCGTTTATGTGAATGGAGATTGTCCACATAAACCTCATCTTCAGGGTCTCTACTTCGCTTGGCATTGGGTGATGAGGATGCCGTCGCTGCCGGCGATGAAGATGGCGCCGGCGGTACGTTGGGTTCCGTCCCCATCGCGCGTCAGTGGAAATCCATCTCTCCGTCAATTCATCATTCAAGCTCTACAATACTGTGATCGAAACAAGCTGCAAATTGAAGAAAGTTAACAGTCTCTTCATAAATCTGCAAAGGAAAACTGGAGGCCTTGAGCCTGGATGCATCGAATCAACTTGGAAAACGAGGAATAACGGAACATAAGAGCATCTCCGATGGGGATTCTATTCTCATACACACTCTTACAATTGGATCCCATTTTTTATCTCACAAATTTTATGTGTAGGACCTACATATCTCCTTATTTATTTTCATTTTCATTTTTTATATCACTTCTAACCCACTTTTCATCCACTTTTGCTCCTCGATTCCCGTGTAATGTCTATTTGTGGACATTGTCATAGACATTGTCTACAATTTACTCCTATCTCTCTCTTCCTTTTCATTTTTCCATACACACCACTTTCTCCATATTAAATTAAAATAATCATCTTATCTCTATCTCTCTCCTATGCCACGTAGGATAGACTTTACTCCAATCCACTACCCCATTGGAGATGCTCTAATTAACTCCCCATCTTGAGAGTCCACCATGGAAGACAGGTAGAGTCCGTATTATTTTGGGCTGGACCGTTCAATATTTTGGTTTGGTTACTTCCCAAATGAGTAAAGGGTCAGTTTGGTCCTCGAAGTTGCAAAAAAGGTGTCAAATAAGTCCTTATATAGAAGATTCTGTCCGGACGTGCCATTTGAGGTGACTCCCAGTGGAATTTTGTGATAAATACTTTTGAGAATCTTATTCATTTAGTCTAGTTTACTCATACCAAATTTCAGCTAAAAATTCAATCGGGAAGACATTCAAATGAATTCTTGAAGATAACAACGCTTTTAACGGCACAGTTATCTTCAAGAATTTATTTGAATGTCTTCTCGATTGAATTTTTATCTGAAATTTGGTATGAGTAAACTAGACTTAATGAATAAGATTCTCAAAAAATTTCATCAAAAAATTCCACCAGGAACCACCTCAAATGGCACGTCCGGACAGAATATTCTATATAGGGACTTATTTGACCCCTTTTTTGCAACTTCGAGGACCAAACTGACCCTTATCCCCTTCCCAAATACAGCAACGGTTGTTTTGGTATTTCGTTGCTTTAATACAAACTCTCTCATTATACTTGTATATAATATAAAAGAAAAATAATCAGCAATTTAGGGGGTTTTGACAAATTTATTTGAACATTTAATCATGATATTAAGACACGTGATTTCTAAATTATTATATGTAGTATTTTGTTTCAAGAGGGTTTTTTGTGCGCAATAGAACGTCAAAGACATTTTTTAAATCATATGAACCAAATGTCCAAAATTCATATATCACGAGGGAGTTTATGCATTTAACCAAGGATTAGATCCATCCCAGTTCACCTTTATATCGAAAGCAGAGACGAAATTGTTGTCTTTAACCGAAATCACAATAAAAATGTATAGTACCTTCGGTTTGGAACCAATGATTCACTAGTCCTATTCTATTATCTCAAGATTGAAATCACCAATTCTAATTGTAAATCAAACGGTTCAAGTTCAAACCATTGTTAATAATAAAAAACATAAATAATTAATTATCTAAAAACTTATAAAGGTCAATGAGGGTTATACCCTTATGGGAATAGAAATTTTGTTGGTGTCACTCTATGGTATTGTTAGTTTGTAAATTATGCTGAAAATCTTGTACCATCACTATTTCCTCCGTCATGTCCTTGCTTCCGTTCCGTTAATTGTATGCCCTCTCGTATACGTCTTTTTGACTACCGGCCCTGTGAATCAGCATCCCAAAAATCTACCTGCTTTACTCCGTTACAGTGTTAAGCAAGCTGGAACGACGACTTGGGCGACCCAAGGGCAGGCCCCATACGGAGATGCTCTGAGAGTCCGGAATCGACCCTGCAGCTGGAACGAGACCTGCGTCTGTCTAGGTGAGCGACAGATTCTGCGACGCAACAGGGGTTTCTTCTCCGACAGTCAGGCACGCGCGTGGTGATTTCCATGACAACACAACGAGCATAGAAGACTCTGCTCCATCAGGGACGACTATTCAGGACAACGTCATCTCAGGTCATCGCTTCAAGCTAGAGACCAGCAAATCAGTCAGGCAATCACCACATTTCAATCTTCTCTAAATCAGTGTTGTTATAGTAGGACTGAATTCCTAATGAGATCATTCTAATTTTAATTTGAACTCAATATCTTGATACTTCTAATTCATCTTCCGATGTTGGCAGGCCTCCGTCCCTCCGTAGTGGCACTTATGGAACCATCTGCGTGTGTCCCAGGAGTTGCGATTGTAGATTTGTTGCGATGGAGTGTCGATGTAAATATCCTAATTGTGCTCCTCTTTTTGCCTTAAGTCATTAACACTTCTCAAATTTGCACCTTCTTTTTAACTTTTGATTCTACAATATTCTGTGAATTTCTCTCGTAAAACCGGGTCTGGAGTAGAATTAAAAGAAACACATAGTAATTGAAAAGTCAAAGCCATTCACATGTTTGTTAATGAGTGTATAAAAGGGTTTTGGATGTTAGAGTGCAGGTATGAAGAGTTTGACATTTAAACAGAGTTAAATTAAAACTTAAACATAAAATATTTGTAAAACCAGAGTTTTTCCTACGTCTGTTGATGATTAGTATGGCTGTTAGAGTAAAAGTTAGTCCATATTTACTTTTTAGATCACAAATAGAGAATTAAAAGATGTCATATATCTGATGATGGTTTGTGGATTAGATGTTGGTGAATAAAGAACAATTAGGGATCACCTTGATGCTTTTGATGTTGATATTTTTGGAGGGAAAACATCACAATAAACTCAAACTCAAATAGGAAAAAGATCAGGCAAGAAGAGTTGTACTAACAGGACAATAACAAAAGAACAATTCATAGATCGGTAAATGATGAAGATGGACATATAGGGGGGTTTCGTCTACTGTGGTGCATTGAGCATGGTCATATGATGTTTCTGTGTTTGTTTTTTTATTGACTTAAAATTTGCATATGTTTGATTAGTTATAATTTAGCAGTTAAATTATTGAAAATATTATTTGTTGATATATTTGGAGGCTTAGGCCTCATTGCATGTCAAGTCCTACGCAGTGTTTTCAATCCTGGATAGCGGTGCGTAGCGAAGAACCCTAAAACACTATAGCGGTGTAGCGGATAGCGGGATGACCGCTATTTAGACTACTTTCCACATAATAGATAAGTAACTACTGGAAACATATACTTCATATAATACATTACATACACATTTTGAATTCAAAAAGTATGATATATGCCAATGAAGGTTGAAAACATCACATTCATAAATCCTAAATTATTTAGAAATACTCTTTAGTCTCCTGAGCAAAACATAAGATGCTATTAATGACAGTAGACTCCATACGAGATGACAAAGAACTTTGTTGTACAAGATGAATAATGAGAAGAAGGAAGACTGCAACAAAGGTTGATCTTGTAAAAGATGTTGCAGCAGAATTAGAAGAATGAAAGAACATAAGAAGATGAAGCAGCAGACTCTACCAGTGGAAAGAAGCGAAGAGGAATGCAAAGGTTGTCGTTCTTGAAGAAGATGTCATCGCAGAGCAGAAAGATATCATCGCAGAGCAGAAAGCATGAGATACGCAGAGCAGAAATATATGCGTTTGCACTTCTACGAACGTATAGAAGGGTTTTAAGTGGTTAATATCTTATTTTTAAAAGACAAATTTACCCTTCTACCCCAGCACTAAGTAAATAATACGCAGATAATATGCAGATACTTCCATTCGATCAATTGCGACGCTATAGCGTCCGCCTTCACCGGAATAGCGTGCCCGCTAATGCTTCCGCTATAGGCGCTACACCCAAACGCGACGCTAGAGGTACTCTTGTAGCGCCAACCTTGACCTCCGCTCCGCAATACCGCTATAGCGCTGTCATGAACTCGGTTAAGGCAGGAGACGGGGTAGGCTATTCATTCAAATGCACTAAGGCGGTAAACAGGCTGATGAGTTAACTGGTGGGCTGGGTTATGAAAAGGAAAAGCTACTTGGGCTGGAATACATTAAAATAAACTTTTGTATTGGACTGCTATTGTTTTTAAACCCCAATTTATGTCAAGTGGGTTATTACTATATTTAGTATGGCAGTAGAGGTATAAAATGTACTGTCCGTTTACAGAAGAGTAAGAAATGAATAACTAATTATTCCCCCTATCTTCTTCCCCAAGTATTCTTCTCTCTCTCCTCTATTTCATTTCTCTCGTTTATTCATGAAACTTCCGCAACCATAAGCAGATTCATCACAAGCGCGCAATAGCGCCGCTATTAACATCATTGGTCCTACGCCTTCCTCACCAAAAACAAACTACTTAATACCTGAACTAGCCTTTAAGGTTTATTTTTTACTTATTTACTGAATATAGAAATGACATGGCGGAAAAGGAAGTTACTGGACATGGATTTCTGCCTATGTTGTACTCATTTTCTTTCTATCTTTGTGTGCAGATCTTATGCAATTTGTGCTATTACAAGTTTATTTGAGCTTGAGTGGTTGATTGTCAGGTTAGGTATGCTCCTTTATTTCAATTTACCTTTATTTCATGTATTAAGTTTTGATTTGATAAGGACAGTTTGTATGTTTGGTACTCAAGAAATATATCAATCAATAAAATAATTGTTCTCTTTCACACTGTGATATTATCATTCTACCCTTGCAGTAATTATTTAACAGTGGAATGAAATAATTATTTAGCACAGAGGCGATGGTAACTTGAGCATAGATAGATCATAGATAAAATCAAAATCATTTAGCATATTTTCTGCCATTATTTCCAGGCCCTTAAAACTTCATACTTGTGGTGAATAATGAAAAATATTTTCTCTTTGGGTTGTGGTGATGATTAAGGGAGTGTTTGGGTTAGCTTAAAAAAAGCACTTTTCAGCTTTTGGCTTAAAAAAAGTTGAAAAGAGTGTTTTCAAATGACAGCTTCTGCTTAAATTAATCACTTAAAAGCTAAAAGCTGGAAGCAGGTAGAAGGGTGCTTTAAACTGCTTCTCACTTTTTCTATTACACAAAAAGTACTTATTTTACCAAACACTACCAACTTTTACTTTTCCAGAATCACTTTTTTCTCAAACACTACCAACTTTGACTATTAATCACTTTTCCCAAAACCACTTTAAAAAATCACT